CTGCTGCACAAGACCTTTTTAAAGTGTTGAAGAGCAAAGATGTCTGCTTGAGGACTAAGGTGTGCCTGACCCAACCCCATGGTATTTTCAATAACCTCATTTGCATGCACAAGCTGCACAATGAATAAGGAAGATCATACAAGAATTGATGCATTTGAGTTTTGGTGTTGGAGGAGAATATTAAAAGTACCATGAACTGCCAAAAGAACAAACCAATCTGTGTTGGAAGAAGTACAGCTGGAAAATACTATGGAAGCCAGGATGGCCAGATTTCACCTCTCATACTTTGGACATATTGTCAGGAGGGACCAGTCCCTGGAGAAGGATATCATGTTCCATAAAATGAAGGGTCAGAAGAAAAGAGAAAGACCCCCAGCAAGATGGATTGGCACAGTGGCAGTGATGGTCTCAAATGTAGCAATGATTGTGAGGTTGGCCCAGGACCGGGCAGTGTTTTATTTTGTTTTACATAGGGTCCCTATGAGTCGGTACGAACTTGATTGTACCTAACAACAAAACAACATAGTCAAAAGCCTTTAATAATAAATAAAGCACAAGTATATATCTTTTTGTTATTCTCTGCTTTTAGCTAAGATTCATCTGACATCAGCAATGATATCCCTCATTTCTTGTCCTCTTCTGAATCTGGTTTGAATTTTTGGCAGTTCCTTGTTGATACACTGTTGCGAGTCACATCCATTTTTTGATTTCTCATTGCATATTAAAGCTATTTTCTTATAGCCTTATGAAAAAGTCAGCAGTTCAAAACCACCAGCTTCTCCTTGGAAACCCCATTAGAGGGTCGCTATGCATCGGAACTGACTGGATAGCACTAAACAACAACATACTTGCTCAACACGGGTACCACAGATCTTCAATTTGTAAAAAATACAATTATCTGTGAGGGGCTTAAAGTGAAGTGCATTGAAATAAGATATGCCTGTGTGAGGCTCTGAAAGATCCCAGTGGTGCATAGGTCTGCTTTTTTAGTACCCCCAGAAATAGAAGTGCTTTCTTCCTAGACTTCCAGCACCAGGAGGTGTTAAGAGATCCTCTGGTTTACCTTTCTGTTACTGGACTGTCTTTAATGATCTAAGTCATGAGATTAAGTTGTTATTAATAAGGAGCCAAGAGATTTGAGATGTAAACCAAGGATTCTTCTATATTAAAGGGGTTTCATCCTACAGTGTTTTGTGTATAAAAACCTGTAAAGCCACATTTCCACACCTACTAGGAAAACAGCGGCCACAGTAACGTTAATTTACAACTTCTTGTAGGCAGTCTCAAATTACTTAGAGTTTAAAGTTGGCAATAGAACACTGCACACTAGGGAATTTTTCCCCCTTTGTTCTTTGAAATTTCAATTGATGGTACATTATGTGCTCAAGGTCATGAGTGTTGCAGTATTGATTTGAGTTAGAAAACAGAAAAACAGCTTGTAGATTGCTTCCAGTGCCCTATTGGGGGTACAGCCTGAATATATAGAAATTCCTGAGACAAGTATAGCTTATGAAAAAAGAGGAAGAATCTTGTGGAAGTGGTGAGAGAAAAGAAAAAAAAAAAAAAAAGAAAGATTTATTCCATAAGAAAGTTTAAGGATTTTATAAGCATCTTTGAAGTTGAGACTGAACTTTTCCAAGAAGAAGAAAACAATGCAAGGTCGTTTAAGCCAGGAGTTCCTGTTAGGTAGGTCTTTCAGAATAATTAGGGAACAGGGAACAGGAGCCAGTCTTTTTGAACCACAGAATTTAATGTGAGAAGTTGAGACACAAAGTTCAACTAGCCACACGTTTGTTTGGCAAATGAAGACAAAAACCCAGTTAGGTTGTTTCCTTGGTAATCTCAGAAGAGGTGCTAGAATCCAGTTGTATTGACCTGTTTTTAGCATTAAGGACTAGGAAATGGTCTGAGAGGCGAGCTGCTGCTATTCATCATACTTTCTGGTCCAGTTTTTATGAGTCCCAAGGATGTGGCGTTATAAAGCCCTGAGCTCCACAGGGTTGATACAGGAAGTCTGGAGTTACTTGGTCTGGTATTGAGGGCACATTGTTGCCATCATAGGCATACCTATCTGTACTGCTCACAGAGCCATTCATGCCCTGGTGGAAGGAGGAGTAAGTTGTCTGATGTCTCCCTTTTGAAGTAAGTGTAAAATTATGTAGGAGAACCAAACTTTACCATCAAAAAGCAAATATTTCCTTTTAGTAAGTACATCCACTTAGGTTCCAAAGATGAGGTCGTATGTGAAAGTTGGTGTCTTAAGCAAATGGAGGATGTCCATATTAGCTCACAAAATGGAGGATGACTCCATCATTCCACAACTGCCCACCGACTGTGAATCATGGCCCTGCCAAGGTGATGCAGAACTCAGCCCTCGCAGCCATTGTTACTCTTGTATTGCATCTTGGCATTCCTTACCGCCAGAAGTATATCATTTAATACACAAAATAATCGAATAGTAGATTTTTCTAATGGTGTAAATGTAAAATATTGGATGAGGCAGTTGTTAAGTGAAGATCAGATGTATGGACTCTGGTCTTGTCATCTGATTTTATAATCTTATCTTCTACCTACTGATCTCAAATCTGTTACTTGGACGATTCTGTGAGAAATCTGGGAATGGGAGGGGCTGAGGGAATAGGTTGTACCACATATTCAGGAACAGCTTGTCCACAAATATTTTGGTTGTGGTCTCCAGATGGGAGAGCAGGGCGCCAAGGGCCATGATTGATAGTACTGGCTAGGTTAGCCTCTGCTGTACAGCTCAGTGATTGGAGGTAGTCAGATCACATGTTCCAGTTTTCGTGTCCAGTTGTCCAGATCAGGTGTCATAGTCAGGACAAGTTGTTAGAAGAAGAGGTTAGTATTTCAGACAAGGCGACTTAAGGGATGCTCAAAGGACAGAAGTAGATGATGCTTCCTCAGTTATAGAGCTTGAAGCCAGAAGGTACAGAGGGCACGAGGCAGTGATTCTGTGCAGAAAGCATCGGGTGGACCCTGGCCAAATACATGATGAAACATTCTTCTCTGGGACTAGTTTTCATGGCTGCCTCAATGGTAGGTGCACAGCCTGGCATTTTTTGGAAGGGCCATCATGGGACAGTTGGCAGATGGATGGCTCTGTGGGGGTGGGGGTGGGGAGCATGGCAGACGGGTGGCTCTATGGGGGGGTGGGGGAGGAGTGTTTGGAAAGTATCCAGAGAGTCCTACAGTTTTAAATGATCTCTTCGTACTGATTTTTAAAAAATGGGGAACTGACTGTAGTAACT